TTTCATTTGATACAACTTACATTTAGAACTTATCGTCCACCATCCGTATCGGTCATCGTTCCATGATTCGCTTTATACATCTACATAGCTGTTTGCGGGGTTGCTGACAATTCTTGCCTTTTCCATGACTAATGGCTAGGGTTTTTCAACGAAAAATGGAATGGAACAGTTACCGTGAGAAGGGCGGGTCCAGAAACTATTTCGAATGTACATGTATGAACCGTCAGGCAACGAGGTGAACCAGTGCAGTCACAATGTCCTCCCTTGCGCATGCCGTCTCAGAGACCAACTAGCATCAGGGAAACTGTTCCAAACTTTCTTATCAAAGTTCTATTCGAGAAGGAGTTTTTTGTCATCCTTTTTTAACAATGTTTTTGGAAGTACAACTGAACTTGTCGGTAACATAGAAAACCTGGTCTGATTGTTGACTCCTGGCTATTAGTTAACTATAAATAAAGAAACTACGGGAACACGAGTTCTGTCAGAAGACTCGCTCAAGTTTTTCTTCCTAAGTGGAAGCTCCAAGGTTTTTATCAACTCTTCGCGCTTAATGACGTTCCCATTCGCTCTACCCCACTCAGATAAGAACGAACGCATTGACGTCATCGTTCTCTATAAGAGTCAGAAAGTGATAGATGGAAGAAGCCTAAGATGCTTGGGTCACCTGTTCGGTAGTGAAGCCTTCACTATAAAAAAGGCTCTACGTGAATTTCATTAACCTCTGGGCATTACAACGTTACGTTCGGCACGAACGATAATTCGCTTGAGCGGCTAGTGGCGCGTCTGAAGCCCGATCTTTAGGTGGGCCGTCCGTTTTCGGTAGCCAATCGAAAAATGAAGCCAGTCGTGCTATGCATTTTTGCGTATCATTTTGATGTTACGACTTTTTGACGATAAGAAATATCTGTTTATTTCTTTTCTCGATTAGTTATCTATTTGTTTATTTATCTTTCTCCTGGGCTTTTTGCTCATTTGCCTTGTTAGTTTACTTATTTACTTTTTCAATACTATTTACGAGTCAGAACCAAAACATGAAATTCACAATAACTTATATTACTAGGTCTCATGAAACAGGGATATATACAGGCCCAACAGGGATATATTGAAAAAAGGCGACAGGACGTTCTTCTCAAATCGTTGGCGAACTCTAAACCTTGCTCATCCCGATTGTTCTCCCTTACTTTGGGAATGGTTGGAAGAGTCAGGAGGTTATTATCTCACTTAAATAGTACCATCTGCTTGAGAGTTACCACCTAATCGGCTGAATCGATATTTCAAAATCTTTCTAGGAAAAAAATTCAAAGGAAAAAAATGATTCGATACGGTAATTGCCCTCCAGCCTCTTACCTGTTCATTCGATTCGGAAAACGCTCACTGGAGTTGACTAAACCAGTGGTAACTGATAGATAGATCGCCATTCTCTATGGATATCCGTAGCCATCAATTAGCTTACTGGTTTGGCCCACTTTTGTTACTCGCCCGGTGGTCACGTGCATTCCACGGGGACCTGCCAAAATAGCTCCGACCTGGATCTTTGATGTAAGTAGAATTCATCAGGGCAGGGATGGGCGGGAGGGCAAATCCCACGCTTATTAAATTTGAAAAAAAAANAAAATAGCTCCGACCTGGATCTTTGATGTAAGTAGAATTCATCAGGGCAGGGATGGGCGGGAGGGCAAATCCTACGCCTATTGAATTTGAAAAAAAAATAACAAAAAATAATGCGAAATCTAAAAACTGCGGATAATGAAAATAGAAAAAAACCAAAGAGATCAAGAATCAAGAAAGCTGAACGAGCTCGGTCTGTCCTTCTTTTCCGAAACCAGGTGCCACCGATCTTTTTTTAATAGAAATTCTTCATCCTTCAATTGAGTGTTCATGTATTTTAACTTGATGTTTTTGTTTATGTTGACTGTTTACTCCTTTGTTGCATATAACCTGCAGTGAACATTTATCCTACCAGTTTTTCTGGTTCTTTTCAGTGCTATCGCAGCGATCACGTGAATTTCATGTGATCACGGCAGATCACGTGAATTTCATCTGATCACGCGAATGTCATGTGAAAGCATAAATAGGACACTTGATTAAATAATGGAAGTTAAATGAGCAAATTGGAATTGTCCGTTTTACTGGCGCTCGAAGGGTACCTAGGTAAAAGCGAAAACAAGTAAATAAGATGTAGATAAGCCCATTCAATCCTTTCAGAGAAGCAATAAATTTATGTGAAGATTGTAACCTCAACCCTGTCTTATTTTTTGATTGTTGACCAACTCTCACGTGACTTGTTCTCCACATCGCCTGATCATGCTCGCTGACAGCTCCCACTTGCAAAGCACCTTTGGGACGTCCTCACGTTGCTGAGCGAGTCACGTGACCAGCATGAGACCATCCGCAGGGAACAGGTCACGCCCCACACCGTTGGCCCTCCAGACACTTCTAGGACTACGTCTGGGAGCGATTGTGACAGCATAGTGTGTCCAAATGCTTAGGGCAGCTTTCACAATGCCACAGGTCCTTTTCCTCGTGTCCAGACGTCCCTCTCCTCTATATAAATTGTCAATTTCTCGCCGAGTTTCGAAATTGTTACTTCTATGCCTTTGTACGGTCCTATTTTAAGACCCGAATTTTCGCAATTATTTACTTCTCGGCTAGATTATTTGGAAGAGTGGGGAGTGGGTTAAAAGGCTGCACTAAAAGCAAATGCGATAGTGCCAGGCGCCCACGCACTCCGCCTACACTAATTTCCTATGAACCTCTGTAGAACTTGTTTCTTCCTTTTGCAGTTTCTCGTCTTTAAAGCCGATCTATCTGAGTCTAAAAGCGATTTTGGATGATTCCTTTCTTTCTTCCTTTCTCTTTTTCATTTATTTACTTCCATGAATTAAACCAGTTGTTGCTCGCGTTTTACGGTACTGGCTCAAGGTACCGTAGTTAGAATGCTTCTATTAACTTGAACCCTATGTCCCCATATCTACGAAACTGGATCCGAGGTGGTTGAGCCGAGGTGGTTGATAAGTTTGGCATATACCTATGTAGGAGTCATTGCTGTAATGGCTGTCGCGTTGATGTCTGAGCAAATATTGGAGCCTTAAACTGCCGAGCCACAAAAAAACCTGAATCACCCAGCTGTTTCGATGGAAATCACATGGGAAAGATAGATTTCATCACATTATCTCAGGTTCCTGATTCTCGAGCTTCATAATTTTATGATGCCTTTCATCACTCTAGGCTGTTGTCCTCGAATTGTTGAAATAGCTAAATATTCACTCCTGGACAGCTGTGTCTACAGCCCATGGGTCATTCAATGAGGATGTCTTCGTATGCTGCCAGCTGTTGCATTTTTTCTTGGAACTGCTGCGGGGCCCTGGGATATCTTGAGGCTTTGTGATGGGGACAACGTCGTAAGTTTTCAAAAACAGATCCTTCATGTAGGGGAAAAACCGTATAGTGGAGCTGTTGCAAAGGACGCCACTGCCAGGCGCATAGTCCAGAGATCAGACCCTGCCAGAAAGGGCTGCAACTTCTGGATTTTGAACCGATTGTTGTTGAATTGGGAGAGCTTCACCGATTCTCTGATTAATTATTCAGAGGGTGGAGCCTAATTGAAAGTTTTTGGCGTTATCAATCCCGTCTGAGGGATGCGCCCATGCACTCGACTTCTATTCAGAATCGTAGTGACGTAATGAGTGCGTATGTGGCCTATACAATGACTTGCGGTGGCCAGCCGACGTACAGATCGGTGCTTTTATCCTCCCAGACGAGTCTGGTACCAATTCACCGACCCCGTCGTAGTGACGTAATGAGTGCGTATGTGGCCTATACAATGCGGTGGCCAGCCGACGTACAGATCGGTGCTTTTATCCTCCCAGACGAGTCTGGTACCAATTCACCGACCCCGGAGGGATGGAAGGCTTGGTTGGCCTAGGCGGGCATCGATCCGGGATTGTATATAATACGATTTTTGCATTAAGGTGATATTGGGACAAAACCGGTGAGTCCCGCCATTCCGTTCACAGCGAAGTAACCCCCATAAGTCCTTTTTTTAAAAACAAATGGTGCCATGTCCCAGTATCAGCGGTCAGCAGCATTAAGCAGACGCTTACTATAGTACCTAGGCAAAGTAATCAGTTCATAGGACTTGTTTATTCAATCGTGATTACGTATTTGGGTTCAAATGTTTACCTAGGTGTCACGGTCGCAAAGGCCGCATTGGTTGTTGTGTCGGTGCCCGCTTAAAGCTGAACGATAAACCAGGTGATAAAGGAGTAGTTCAGTTCCTTCTCACCTGCTGTAGATGTCTCTGGATGCCTTGTAGATCTATTATCTCAACGTGTTTCATTTACCGTAACGCCTCAAGGCATGTGTGTAGATCATTTTTGGATGGTGTAAACGTGCTCTCATTCTCATATTTGGGTAGTAGGCGTTGTCTTCAGTGTGAGATAGTTTTCTTTAACGCGCCATGCTTCCGTCACCATCACTGAATTCTACAAACTGTGGTAATCCTTCTTGGGCTTATATCATGAATAAGGGAAAGTTTTAACCAGCTCACCCTGTTTTTTTCCTGGTCTTCTTTCTATCGCGCCATGCCTTTGTCCATTACTCCGTAACCTTCAGTCTGTTCCGCTCTACTAGGCTCATGTCGTGAAGCAGTAAGATACACCCACTGTCTTTCAAGATTTTACTTTTTCTATAACCGACCCGTAGGGCAGTCAACTTGATGGGTCTAGATAGAATCCGATCCGTTGGGCTGTAGTTTACTGGGGACGATTCGACCCTGTTTGCAGCTTCACTCTTCCATACTATATCTGTCAATTGAGCTCTTCGTTCCTCACGCCGTTTTAAACTCCCAGCTCCTTCCCTAGATTGTTTTTGTTTCCTTTTTTGGTTGTACCGACCTGATTTTTTTCCGTATACTCGTCTGTTCCTCATTAATTGTTGGTAATGACATTTTTCCAAAGGTCTTTTTTTTCAGATTATATAAATACCTTACATAAAGCATAATGTTCGAGCGAATTCTGGGCATATTCATCTTCATACTGTACTTATTCGATACTGTATTCGCTTTTGATGAGAAAAATAATGGCGGAAAAGGTATGGAGAAGGCTTTTGCTTATTGCCCAACTTGTTCAATTAATTTGTGTGTTTACAGATCAGCCAAGAAAGATCCGCGCTTTGAAGCGACCACAAGCCATGGATCGCCTAGCAATGCCGTCATAATACCACAATTTTTATTTATTATATTGTTACTATGCATTATATTACAATTTCGTGGCTATCTACTGGTACCACCAACACGTGTATCCATTCTGTCATTATAATAAACAATTATAACGATATTCCAATGTAAATGTATTTGTAAACGGGCTAGCTGGCCTAGACTCAGGTTGGAAACTTCAATTTATGGTATGAGAGTATCTAGGACCTGTTTCTATCTGAACCATACCCAAGGCGAAAGATGGAGGTTGAACAAATTGCCCACTGTGAATAATTACTCAAGAATGCGCCATATTTTCACTGCTCTCCAACATTCGCAAAGACATTTAAGGGTGTGGTCTTTCTCGAGAGTTTAGCTATGCCAAACTTATGCCACCTAACGCGATTAAGCCGAAGACGAATTATTTCCCAATAAGTTTCCAAGGTCATGGTAGAGGCCAGGTTTACAACCGCTTTGTTCTTGTATAAAACATATCTGGTAACCGATCCAACGATTAGGAAAATCTTAGCGTTGAAATCGGCCCTCAAAATGGAATCTCATCGTCTCTGTTCTGAATCATCAGAAAATAACCGATAGGGAATGAGGCAATACCCTCTAGGTCCTGCTTCAATAGACAGCGTCGTCATGCTGAAGTACTGACACCAATTCCCATCGTAATTTCGTTAAGAAGAGATAATTAGCACCACAGACATGAGAACTATGCCTGGCTGCCTGTTTGCCTTTGATTTCCATAGTGACAAGAAGGCGATCTGGGAAAACAGGACCATCTGGGATGGATCACCGTGGGTGAGGCAACACTGACGGCTACGTAGGGATATGGCCGCAAGCTTTGATATAGGGGAACAGTATATATAAAATAATCAGTTGAGTCGATTGATATGTTTAATTAATTGGCAGGTTTGAGTGAACCTGGGAACCACGTTCTGGTTGTTGATCTCGATTATTTGCACCAGCTATTCACGAGTTGTACTCTCCTCATGTATCCACAGATCGAAGAGCATGTGAATGAGGATCCATGTGACAGGTGGTGTCCTACAGCGAACTGAGCAGAACCTAGAGGTCCCGCTTTGTTTTACTGTGGGGTCGGGCTGCTTAACCTTCAATTCAAAAAGAATAGCAAAGTAGTTTACTGCAAGTCACAGAACTTCCCGAAAATGTCAGTTCGAGAGCATATTCCCTCTATTTCTCGGGTCCGAAAGCCAGTTCACTTCCTCCTCCGTTAAGCAGGCGCATGAGCTCTCCCTCGGACTCCTTTTTGCCATTTCCTGAAATGTAAGGTTGAGCATTGCAGTCGTTAGGGAATTTACTAGATAGGAAGAAGTACCTGCGGTAATTGTAAAGTGTTGGCCCTGGTTTCAACCATATTCTCCTTCGCCTTGACATCGTCACTGGAGAGGCCACTAAATTCCATTTCTCCTGATGCACTGCGAATTCTACGATGGCAGTAGTAGTAGCAGCGATGTCGTCGGCGACATGCCTCAGTTACGGTCGCGACCAGTAGTATGGCCACGATTAAAATACGGAACATGTTTCTGAAACGTTGGATTTGAAGTGGTTATGAAAGTCGCTCAGGCTATGGACATCTTGTTGGGACTTTCTCGAATCAAATTTTCCGCGCTATCGGTGGTTCTTGATTTTTGAGATATTGTGGAGAGAGCCTTGTTTCAGATTTGAAGCAGCATTTACAGTTCGACAACAAAATTACAGGACCCAAAAATTGTTACGGTAACTCTGAAGTTTTACCGAAATCTTTTTACAGCTTCACATTTAGTGGTCGTAAAGTGACAGGCAATAGTTCCGGGATAGTCACTGACGCTCCATGTCATTTTATGATGAAAACTTGATTATGTACTACCAAAATTACTGCAGGAATTGGGGACCGTGCTAAATTCCGTATTGAATGCAGCCGGAATTCGATTTGAATGCAGCACAATTCGAGGAGGGCACCTCTGATTGGGACAGCGAAGGCTCCTATTACTTTCTCCCCCCCCCCCCTCCCCTCCCCTCCCTAACCTTTCTGGCTTCAGAATTGGAATAATTGGAAGTTCTTGGTAGATTGAAAGAGTATGAGTCAGCGACAAGGCGGAATGAGTTCAATGCAGTGAGGGAATAGGATGATAAGAGATTCCTGAGGAAGAAAAATGAGAGATTCTGGTGAAGGCTTCAGGAAGTGATAACAACTTCGCTGTTCGCTTCACTGTTATTGTTTCTCGACTAGCTAAGTAAATATTACTATGGAAAAAGGTTAGAAAAACAGGCAGTGGGAAAGGTCAGACTCGAATTCACGCAAAACACTGTCACATTCGAATTTAAGCAGTTTAGAGCAATTGAGAACCTTGTCAGTGATGCCCGCGAATGAACACTGACTCGGAAGGAAATCAGGTGCATGAATAGCCTTCTTTATGAGTAACTACTGAGTCATCAAGCATCAAATGAATACCTGGCAAAGGCCTCAAACGTCAGGCAACGGCATAACCCGAATCGCTTCAAAGATTGCTCGTCATTGAGCATTACAGAAACACCTTTGTTGGCTGTTGAAAACGGGTGGACATTTTAATTGCTGTCCGTTTCTCAAAGACCTTCAATCGCCTCCGTTTCTCTGTGACCATCGAGGGTTAACGGATTCGGTTCATCAGCTGACTTGCCAGATCCTTATTCCGTGAACAGCTTAAAGTTATGATGATAGTGCAGGAAAGAAAACCAAATAAAAGACCATCACTTGGAAGTGTTTCGTTTCCTAATGCTGATTCGTTCATCCCACAACTTCTTCCTTTACTGCAGAGCAAAGGATCTGGGTGAACCAATAGTGATCGGTGCTGGTGAAGTTCGTGATTTTCATGGCACGAGCTGTGTTCTAGCCAAAATTTTCTCCGCTCCTTCAAAAATCCCAAGCCGTCGTCGAATTCGCCCTGGAACACCTTCTGAGATTCTCCTTGGGATTGATCCTGAATTCTGCATAAGCCGCCCTTCGCTCACAAAAGTCATACCCACTCAAATGCAACAGTCATCTAGAAGAACAGTAAAGTGCGTGGCGTATTCCAGATGGATGCAAAGCTTTTGATTTCGCCTTGCATTTTCCGCTTTTGTAACATATCTTAGAACGTG